TTCCTTGCTACTGTGGTCACTGACCCTTCTTTCGAATCTTCTGCTGCGTCTGCCCTACTCACTGAGCTTGTCGACTTTGCTGCTCGCTGTCGCTTAGACTACGCTGCTAGTCTTGTTGCTGAGTCTGCGTCTGTCTGTCCTCCGTCCGTCGGGGGTGAGTGTGCTCTTGGCACGGACGAAGCACATTGCTCTCCGCTACTTCCTTGCTCGTGAGCTGCAGCAGCGTGGTCAGCTGCGACTTGCGTACGTGGCCTCTGAGGCCAACACTGCTGATGTGTTCACCAAGGCACTCGCGCCTTGTGACCATCAGCGCTTCTGTACCCAGCTGGGTCTTGTGCCTGTCTTGCCTCACTCGCTCTCTTCCTGACTTCACTTGTACTGTGATATATATATATACCTGCTCTTGCTTGTCTAGTAATATATATATGTCTGTACTCCTGCATGTGAACTGGCCTCTGGCCCTGCTCTTGTGCTCGGACTGTGTGGTGACTTTGTGATCCACCCTGAGCTTGCTTTGCTTTGCTTGACTGGTCTTGTGACCCCTTGTTCTCCCCCACTTTGCCTATGGGGGTGTGTCAGAACATTATAGCTGATACATGTTTGTAGGCTGTAGTGGGGTAGCACATATGGGGTACAGATTCCTAGGGTTTGTTATTTGTACCAATTTCTGACTTAGTCATTTCATTCCTCTTCTCATTGTTTCACATAACGCACATGTGTAGAGAAAATGGAGCATCGGCCAGTCTGGCCGGCATTTCGCACTTATAGTGCAAGTAGGGCGAAGGAGAACGGAAACGCTCATTTCTCAAAAAGTAATGGGAATCTAGCGGTCTCACTCGATCAGAAGGTGGGAAATATATAAATCTAGTGAGCTAATAAGGTTCAAAAGGAATCTAATGCATATGTATATGAAAAATGGTGCATTGGCCAGGTCGGTCAGTATGGGAACGTAGAGTGCAAATGCCAGGGAGAACGGAAGCGCTCAGATCTCGCATAGTACACGGAATCTAGTGGTCTCACTCAAATAGAATGTAGGAAATAAATTCATCTAGCGAACATAAGGGTTTGAAAGGTAACTAACGCACATGTATAGAGAAAATGGTGCATCAGCCAGTCTGGCCGGCATTTCGCACTTATAGTGCAAGTAGGGCCAATGAGAACGGAAACGCTCATTTCTCAAAAAGTAAAGGGAATCTAGCGGTCTCACTCGATCAGAAGGTGGGAGATATATAAATCTAGTGAGCTAATAAGGTTCGGAAGGAATCTAATGCATATGTATATGGAAAGTGGTGCCTGGCCAGGTCGGTCACTATGGGAACTTAGAGTGCAAATGCGTGGGAGAACGGAACCGCTCAAATCTCGCACAATACACGGAATCTAGTGGTCTCACTCAAATATAAGGTAGGAAATAAATTCATCTAGTGAACGTAAGGGTTTGAAAGGTAACTAACGCACATGTGTAGAGAAAATGGTGCATCGGCCAGTCTGGCTGGCATTTCGCACTTATAGTGCAAGTAGGGCCAAGGAGAACCGAAACGCTCATTTCTCAAAAAGTAGAGGGAATCTAGTAGTCTCACTCGATTAGAAGGTGAGAAATATATAAATCTAGTGAGCTAATAAGGTTCGAAACGAATCTAATGCATATGTATATGGAAAATGGTGCATTGGCCAGGTCGGTCAGTATGGGAACTTGGAGTGCAAATGCCTCGGAGAACGGAACCGCTCAGATCTCGCATAATACACGGAATCTAGTGGTCTCACTCAAATATAAGGTAGGAAAATTATTCATCCACTGAACGTAAGGGTTTGAAAGGTAACTAACGTACATGTGTAGAGAAAATGGTGCATCGGCCAGTTTGGCCGGCATTTCGCACTCATAGTGCAGGTGGGGCCAGGGAGAACGGAAACGCTCGTTTCTCAAAAAGTAGAGGGAATCTAACGGTCTCACTCGATCAGAAGGTGGGAAATATATAAATCTAGTCAGCTAAAAAGGTTTGAAATGTATTCAACGCACATGTATAGAGAAAATGGTGCATTGGCCAGGTCGGTCAGTATCGGAACTTAAAATGCAAATGCCAGGGAGAACGGAAGCGCTCAGATCTCGCATAGTACACGGAATCAAGTGGTCTCACTCAAATAGAAGGTAGGAAATATATTCATCTAGTGAACGTAAGGGTTTGAAAGGTAAATAACGCACATGTGTAGAGAAAATGGTGCATCGGCCAGTCTGGCCGGCATTTCGCACTCATAGTGCAGGTGGGGCCAGGGAGAACGGAAACGCTCGTTTCTCAAAAAGTAGAGGGAATCTAATGGTCTCACTCGATCAGAAGGTGGAAAATATATAAATCTAGTCAGCTAAAAAGGTTTGAAATGTATTCAACGCACATGTATAGAGAAAATGGTGCATTGGCCAGGTCGGTTAGTATCGGAACTTAAAATGCAAATGCCAGGGAGAACGGAAGCGCTCAGATCTCGCATAGTACACGGAATCTAGTGGTTTCACTCAAATAGAAAGTAGGAAATATATTCATCTAGTGAACGTAAGGGTTTGAAAGGTAACTAACGCACATGTGTAGAGAAAATGGTGCGTCGGCCAGTCTGGCCGGCATTTCGCACTTATAGTGCAAGTAGGGCCAAGGAGAACGGAAACGCTCATTTCTCAAAAAGTAAAGGGAATCTAGCGGTCTCACTCGATCAAAAGGTGGGAAATATATAAATCTAGAGAGCTAATAAGGTTCGAAAGGAATCTAATGCATATGTATATGGAAAATGGTGCATTGGCCAGGTCGGTAAGTATGGGAACTTAGAGTGCAAATGCCAGGGAGAACGGAAGCGCTCAGATCTCGCATAGTACACGGAATCTAGTGGTCTCACTCAAATAGAAGGTAGGAAATAAATTCATCTAGTGAACATAAAGGTTTGGAAGGTAACTAACCTACATGTGTAGAGAAAATGGTGCATCGGCCAGTCTGACCGGCATTTCGCACTTATAGTGCAAGTAGGGCCAATGAGAACGGAAACGCTCATTTCTCAAAAAGTAAAGGGAATCTAGCGGTCTCACTCGATCAGAAGGTGGGAAATATATAAATCTAGTGAGCTTATAAGGTTCGGAAGGAATCTAATGCATATGTATATGGAAAGTGGTGCATTGGCCAGGTCGGTCAGTATGGGAACTTAGAGTGCAAATGCCTGGGAGAACGCAACCGCTCAGATCTCGCATAATGCACGGAATCTAGTGGTCCCACTCAAATATAAGGTAGGAAATATATTCATGTAGTGAACGTAAGGGTTTGAAAGATAACTAACGCACATGTGTAGAGAAAATGGTGCATCGGCCAGTCTGGCCGGCATTTCGCACTCATAGTGCAGGTGGGGCCAGAGAGAACGGAAACACTCGTTTCTCAAAAAGTAGAGGGAATCTAATGGTCTCACTCGATCAGAAGGTGGGAAATATATAAATCTAGTCAGCTAAAAAGGTTTGAAATGTATTCAACGCACATGTATAGAGAAAATGGTGCATTGGCCAGGTCGATCAGTATCGGAACTTAAAATGCAAATGCCAGGGAGAATGGACGCACTCACATCTCGCATAGTACACGGAATCAAATGGTCTCACTCAAATAGAAAGTTGGAAATATATTCATCTAGTGAACGTAAGGGTTTGAAAGGTAACTAACGCACATGTGTAGAGAAAATGGTGCATCGGCCAGTCTGGCCGGCATTTCGCACTTATAGTGCAACTAGGGCCAAGGAAAACGGAAACGCTCATTTCTCAAAAAGTATAGGGAATCTAGCGGTCTCACTCGATCAGAAGGTGGGAAATATATAAATCTAGTGAGCTAATAAGGTTCGAAAGGAATCTAATGCATATGTATATGGAAAATGGTGCATTGGCCAGGTCAGTCAGTATGGGAACTTAGAGTGCAAATGCCAGGGAGAACGGAAGCGTTCAGATCTCGCATAGTACACGGAATCTAGTGGTCTCACTCAAATCGAAGGTAGGAAATAAATTCATCTATTGAACGTAATGGTGTGAAAGGTAACTAACGCACATGTGTAGAGAAAATGGTGCATCGGCCAGTCTGGCCGGCATTTCGCACTGATAGTGCAAGTAGGGCCAAGGAGAACGGAAACGCTCATTTCTCAAAAAGTAAAGGGAATCTAGCGGTCTCACTCGATCAGAAGGTGGGAAATATATAAATGTAGTGAGCTAATAAGGTTCGGAAGGAATCTAATGCATATGTATATGGAAAGTGGTGCATTGGCCAGGTCGGTCAGTATGGGAACTTAGAGTGCAAATGCCTGGGAGAACGGAACCGCTCAGATCTCGCATAATACACGGAATCTAGTGGTCTCACTCAAATAGAAGGTAGGAAATAAATTCATCTAGTGAACGTAAGGGTTTGAAAGGTAACTAACGCACATGTTTAGAGAAAATGGTGCATTGGCCACTCTAGCCGGCGGTTCGCACTCATAGTGCAGGTGGGGCCAGGGAGAACGGAAACGCTCGTTTCTCAAAAATTTGAGGGAATCTAACTGTCTCACTTGATGAGAAGGTGAGAAATGTATAAATCTAGTCAGCTAAAAAGGTTTGAAATGTATTCAATGCATATGTATAGAGAAAATGGTGCATTGGCCAGGTTGGTCAGTATCGGAACATAAAATGCAAATGCCAGGGAGAACGGAAGCGCTCAGATCTCGCATAGTACACGGAATCAAGTGGTCTCACTCAAATAGAAAGTAGGAAATCTATTCATCTAGTGAACGTAAGGGTTTGAAAGGTAACTAACGCACATGCGTAGAGAAAATTGTGCATCGGCCAGTCTAGCCGGCATTTCGCACTTATAGTGCAACTAGGGCCAAGGAGAACGGAAACGCTCATTTCTCAAAAAGTAGAGGGAATCTAGCGGTCTCACTCGATCAGAAGGTGGGAATTATATAAATCTAATACATATGTATATGTAAAATGGTGCATTGGCCAGGTCGGTCAGTATGGGAACTTAGAGTGCAAATGACATGGACGTGGACGTGGACGTGGACGTGGACATGGACATGGACATGGACATGGACGTGGACATGAACGTGGACGTGGACATGGACATGGATGTGGACATGGACGTGGACGTGTCCATGTCCATGTCCACGTCCACGTCCACGTCTATGTCCACGTCCACGTTCACGTCCACGTCCATGTCCATGTCCATGTCTACGTCCACGTCCATGTCCACGTCCACGTCCATGTCCAAGTCCATGTCCCTGTCTACGTCCACGTCCACGTCCATGTCCACGTCCACGTCCTCGTCCACGTCCAGGTCCACGTCCATGTCTACGTCCACGTCCACGTCCACGTCCATGTCCATGTCCACGTCCATGTCCACGACCATGTCCACGTCCACGACCACGTCCACGTCCACGTCCACGTCCACGTCTAAGTCCATGTCCACGTCCACGTCCACGTCCATGTCCACATCCACGACCATGTCTTCGTCCACATCCACGTCCACGTCCATGTCCACGTCCATGTCCACGTCCAAGTTCTCCACGTCCACGTCTTCTTCCACGTCGACGTCCACGTACATGTCCACGTCCATGTCCACGTCCACGTCCACGTCCATGTCCACGTCCACGTCCATTTCCACATCCACGTCCACGTCAACGTCCATCTCCACGTCCAAGTCCTCCACGTCCACGTCCACGTCCATCTCCACGTCCACGTCCACGTCCACGTCCACGCCCACGTCCACGTCCACGTCCATGTCCACGTCCATGTCCACGTCCATGTCCACGTCCATGTCCATGTCCACGTCCATGTCCACGTCCATGTCCACGTCAATGTCCACGTCCACGTCCATGTCCACGTCCACGTCCACGTCCATGTCCACGTCCATGTCCACGTCCATGTCCACGTCCACGTCCATGTTCACGTCCACGTCTTGTTCACGTCCACGTCCATGTCCACGTCCACGTCCACGACCACGTCCACGTCCACGTCCATGTCCACGTCCACGTCCACGTCCATGTCTATGTCCAGGTCCATGTCCACGTCCACGTCCACGTCCATGTCCACGTCCACGTCCACGTCCACGTCCACATCCACGACCATGTCTTCGTCCACATCCACGTCCACGTCCATGTCCACGTCCATGTCCATGTCCAAGTTCTCCACGTCCACGTCTTCTTCCACGTCGACGTCCACGTACATGTCCACGTCCATGTCCACGTCCACGTCCACGTCCATGTCCACGTCCACGTCCATGTCCACGTCCACGTCCACGTCAACGTCCATCTCCACGTCCAAGTCCTCCACGTCCACGTCCACGTCCATCTCCACGTCCACGTCCACGTCCACGTCCACGCCCACGTCCACGTCCACGTCCATGTCCACGTCCATGTCCACGTCCATGTCCACGTCCATGTCCATGTCCACGTCCATGTCCACGTCCATGTCCACGTCCATGTCCACGTCCACGTCCATGTCCACGTCCACGTCCACGTCCACGTCCATGTCCACGTCCATGTCCACGTCCATGTCCACGTCCACGTCCATGTCCACGTCCATGTTCACGTCCACGTCTTGTTCACGTCCACGTCCATGTCCACGTCCACGTCCACGTCCACGACCACGTCCACGTCCATGTCCACGTCCACGTCCACGTCCACGTCTATGTCCAGGTCCACGTCCACGTCCACGTCCACGTCCACGTCCACGTCCGCGTCCACGTCCACATCCACGTCCACGTCCATGTCCACGTCCACGTCCACGTCCATGTCCACATCCAAGTCCTCCACGTCCACGTCCACGTCCACGTTCACGTCCATGTCCACGTCCAAGTTCTCCACGTCCACGTCCACGTCCACGTCCACGTCCTCCACGTCCACATCCACGTCCACGTCCACGTCCACGTCCACGTGCACGTGCACGTCCACGTCCACGTCCACGTCCATGTCCACGTCCACGTCCACTCCACGTTCACTCCACGTCCACGTCCACGTCCATGTCCACGTCCATGTCCACGTCGACGTCCACGTCCATGTCCACGTCCATGTCCACGTCCACGTCCACGTACACGTCCACGTCCACGTCGTCCACGTCCACGTCCACGTCCACGTCCACGTCCACGTCCATGTCCACGTCCACGTCCACGTCCACGTCAACGTCCACGTCCACGTCCACTCCACGTCCACGTCGATGTCCACGTCCAAGTCCTCCACGTCCACGTCCACGTCCACGTTCACGTCCATGTCCACGTCCAAGTTCTCCACGTCCACGTCCACGTCCACGTCAACGTCCACGTCCACGTCCTCCACGTCCACGTCCACGTCCACGTCCACGTCCACGTCTACGTCTACGTCGACGTCCACGTCCATGCCCACGTCCACGTCCACGTCCATGTCCACGTCCACGTCCACGTCCACGTCCACGTTCACGTTCACGTTCACGTCCATGTCCACGTCCAAGTTCTCCACGTCCACGTCCACGTCCACGTCCACGTCCACGTCCTCCACGTCCACGTCCACGTCCACGTCCACGTCCACGTCCACGTCCACGTCTACGTCCATGTCCACGTCCACGTCCACGTCCACGTCCATGTCCACGTCCACGTCCACGTCCACGTCCACGTCCACGTCCACGTCCATGTCCACGTCCACGTCCACGTCCACTCCACGTCTACCTCCACGTCCATGTCCACGTCCACGTCCACGTCGACGTCCACATCCACGTCCACGTCCACGTCCAGGTCCACGTCCACGTCCACGTTCACGTCCATGTCCACGTCCAAGTCTACGTCCACGTCCTCCACGTCCACCTCCACGTCCACGTCCACGTCCACGTCCACCTCCACGTCCACGTCCACGTCCACCTCCACGTCCACGTCCACGTCCACGTCCACGTCCACGTCCACGTCCACGTCCAGGTCCACATCCAGGTCCACGACCAGGTCCACGTCCAGGTCCACTCCACGTCCACGTCCACGTCCACGTCCACGTCCACGTCCACGTCCACGTCAACGTCCACGTCCACGTCCACGTCCACGTCACGTCCACGTCCACGTCCACGTCCACGTCCACGTCCACGTCCACGTCAACGTCCACGTCAACGTCCACGTCCACGTCCACGTCCACGTCCACGTCCACGTCCACGTCCACGTCCACATCCACGTCCACGTCCACGTCCACGTCCACTCCACGTCCACGTCCACGTCCCAGTCCACGTCCACGTCCACGTCCACGTCCATGTCGATGTCCACGTCCACGTCCACGTCCACGTCCACGTCCACGTCTACGTCCACGTCCACGTCCACGTCCACGTCCAGGTCCACGTCCACGTCCACGTCACGTCCACGTCTACGTCCACGTCCACGTCCACGTCCATGTCCACGTCAATGTCCACGTCCACGTCCAGGTCCACTCCACGTCCACGTCCACGTCCACGTCCACGTCACGTCCACGTCCAGGTCCACGTCCACGTCCACGTCCACGTCCACGTCCACGTCAACGTCCACGTCAACGTCCACGTCCACGTCCACGTCCACGTCCACGTCCAGGTCCACGTCCACGTCCACGTCCACGTCCACGTCCACGTCCACGTCCACGTCCACGTCCACTCCACGTCCACGTCCACGTCCCAGTCCACGTCCACGTCCACGTCCATGTCCACGTCCACGTCCACGTCCACGTCCACGTCCACGTCTACGTCCACGTCCACGTCCACGTCCACGTCCAGGTCCACGTCCACGTCCACGTCACGTCTACGTCTACGTCCACGTCCACGTCCACGTCCATGTCCACGTCCACGACCACGTCCACGTCCACGTCCACGTCCACGTCCACGTCCATGTCCACGTCCACGTCCACGTCCACGTCCACGTCAATGTCCACGTCCACGTCCAGTCCACGTCCACGTCCACGTCCACGTCCACGTCCAGGTCCACGTCCACGTCCACGTCCACGTCCACGTCCACGTCCACTCCACGTCCACGTCCCAGTCCACGTCCACGTCCGCGTCCACGTCCATGTCCACGTCCACTCCACTCCACGTCCACGTCCCAGTCCACGTCCACGTCCACGTCCACGTCCATGTCCACGTCTATGTCCACGTCCACGTCTACGTCGAGGTCCACGTCCACGTCCACGTCCACGTCCACGTCCACGTCCACGTCCACGTCCACGTCCACGTCCACGTCCATGTCCACGTCCACGACCACGTCCACGTCCACGTCCACGTCCACGTCCACGTCCACGTCCATGTCCACCTCCACGTCCACGTCCACGTCCACGTCCATGTCAACGTCCACGTCCACGTCCACGTCCACGACCACGTCCACGTCCACGTCCACGTTCACGTCCACGACCACGTCCACGTCCACGTCCACGTCCATGTCCATGTTCATGTCCATGTCCACGACCATGTCCACGTCCACGTCCACGTCCACGTCCACGTCCAGGTCCACGTCCACGTCCACGTCCACCTCCATGTCCACGCCCACGTCCATGTCCACGTCCACGTCCACGTCCATGTCCACGTCCAAGTCCTCCACGTCCATGTCCACGTCCACGTTCACGTCCATGTCCACGTCCAAGTTCTCCACGTCCACGTCCACGTCCACTTCCACGTCCATGTCCACGTCCACGTCCATGTCCACGTCCAACTCCTCCACGTCCACGTCCATGTCCATGTCCACGTCCATGTCCACGTCAACGTCCACGTCCACGTCTACGTCCATGTCTACGTCCACGTCCACGTCTACGTTCACGTCCACGTCCACAACCACGTCCACGTCCACGTCCATGTCCACGTCCACGTCCACGTCCACGCCCACGTCCACGTCCAGGTCCATGTCCACGTCCACGTCACGTCAACGTCCACGTCCATGTCCACGTCCACGTCCATATCCATGTCCACGTCCACGTCCATGTCCACGTCCACGACCATGTCCACGTCCACGTCCACGTCCATGTCCACGTCCACGTCCACGTCCACGTCCATGTCCACGTCCACGTCCACGACCATGTCCACGTCCACGTCCACGTCCAAGTCCACGACCTCGTCCACGTCCATGTCCACGTCCACGTCTATGTCCACGTTCACGTCCATGTCCACGACCATGTCCACGTCCACGTCCACGTCCATGTCCATGTCCACGTCCACGTCCACGTTCACGTCCACGTCCATGTCCACGTCCACGTCCACGTCCAAGTCCACATCCACGTCCACGTCCATGTCCACGTCCACGTCCACGTCCACGACCAGGTCTTCGTCCACGTCCACGTCCACGTCCACGTCCATGTCCACGTCCACGTCCATGTCCACGTCCACGTCCACGTCCACGTCCATGTTCCTCCACGTCCACGTCCACGTCCACGACCATGTCCACGTCCACGTCCACGTCCAAGTCTACGTCCATGTCTACGTCCACGTCCACGTCCACGTCCACGACCATGTCTTCGTCCACGTCCACGTCCATGTCCACGTCCATGTCCACGTCCACGTCCACATCCATGTCCACGTCCACGCCACGTCCACGTCCATGTCCATGTCCACGTCCACGTCCACGTCCACGTCCACGTCCATGTCCACGTCCACGTCCATGTCCACGTCCAGGACCATGTCCACGTCCACGTCCACGTCCACGTCCATGTCCACGTCCACGTCCATGTCCACGTCCAGGACCATGTCCACGTCCACGTCCATGTCCACGTCCACGTCCACGTCCACGTCCATGTCCACGTCCACATCCACGTCCACGTCCATGTCCACGTCCACGTCCACCTTCATGTCCACGTCCACGTCCACGTCCAAGTCCACGACCACGTCCACGTCCACGTCCACGTCTACGTCCACGTCCACGTCTACGTCCACGTCCATGTCCACGTCTACGTCCACGTCCACGTCTACGTCCATGTCTACGTCCACGTCCACGTCTATGTCCACGTCTATGTTCACGTCCATGTCCACGTCCAAGTCGTCCACGTCCACGTCCACATCCACGTCCACATCCACGTCCAAGTCCTCCACGTCCACGTCCACGTCGACGTCCACGTCCACTTCCACGTCCACGTCCACGTCCACGTCTACATCCACGTCCACGTCCACGTCCATGTCCATGTCCACGTCCACGTCCACGTCCACGTCTACGTCCACGTCCACGTCCACGTCCACGTCCACGTCCACGTCCATGTCCACGTCCACATCCATGTCCGCGTCCACGTCCACGTCCACGTCCACATCCACGTCCACGTCCACGTCCATGTCCATGTCCACATCCATGTCCGCGTCCACGTCAACGTCCGCGTCCACGTCCACGTCCACGTCCACGTCCATGTCCACCTCCACGTCCACGTCCACGTCCACGTCCAGGTCCACGTCCACGTCCACGTCCACGACCACGTCCACGTTCACGTCCACGTTCACGTCCACGACCACGTCCACGTCCACGTCCATGTCCATGCTCATGTCCATGTCCACGACCATGTCCACGTCCACGTCCACGTCCACGTCCATGTCCACGTCCACGTCCACGTCCACCTCCATGTCCACGCCCACGTCCATGTCCACGTCCACGTCCACGTCCATGTCCACGTCCAAGTCCTCCACGTCCATGTCCACGTCCACGTTCACGTCCATGTCCACGTCCAAGTTCTCCACGTCCACGTCCACGTCCACTTCCACGTCCATGTCCACGTCCACGTCCATGTCCACGTCCAATTCCTCCACGTCCACGTCCACGTCCACGTCCACGTCCATGTCCACGTCAACGTCCACGTCCACGTCTACGTCCATGTCTACGTCCACGTCCACGTCCACGTCTACGTTCACGTCCACGTCCACAACCACGTCCACGTCCACGTCCATGTCCACGTCCACGTCCACGTCCACGTCCACGTCCATGTCCACGTCCACGTCTACATCCACGTCCATGTCCACGTCCACGTCTACGTCCATGTCCACGTCCACGTCCACGTCCATGTCCACGTCCATGTCCACGTCCACGTCCACGTCCACGTCCATGTCCACGTCCATGTCCTCCTCCGCGTTTCCATCCGCTCTTTCCCTCTCCCCATCTCACTAGCTCCAGCCCATCCTTCCTCCCTCATTCCTTCCGAAGGGGTGGGACAGATGGGGAGGAACAGATGGGGAGAAACAGAGGTGGTCGCTACGCCACCACAATCGAACAGCGTTTTGATTCCCTCTCTGCTCCCCACCATCCTCCCCCCAGCTCTCTCCCCGGCATCTGCCCACGTTCCCCCCATCCTCTTCCCTGCTTCCCCGTATCCCTAGCCGTGCTTCCCCCTATCCTATCCCCTCTTACCCCGTATCCCCTGCCCTGCTTCCCCCCATCCCCTTCCCTGTTCCCCCCCATCCCCTTCCCTACTTCCCCCCATCCCCTTCCCACATCCATGTCCACGTCCATGTCCACGTCCACGTCCATGTCCACGTCCACGTCCACGTCGACGTCCACGTCCACGTCACGTCCACGTCCATGTCCATGTCTACGACCATGTCCACGTCCACGTCCACGTCCACGTCGTCCATATCCATGTCTACGTCCACGTCCACGTCCATGTCCACGTCCACGTCACGTCCATGTCCACGTCCATGTCCACGTCCACGTCCACGTCCACGTCCATGTCCACGTCCACGTCCATGTCCACGTCCACGACCATGTCCACGTCCACGTCCACGTCCACGTCCACGTCCATGTCCACGTCCACGTCCACGTCCACGTCCATGTCCACGTCCACGTCCACGTCCACGACCATGTCCACGTCCACGTCCACGTCCAAGTCCACGACCTCGTCCACGTCCATGTCCACGTCCAGGTCTATGTCCACGTTCACGTCCATGTCCACGACCATGTCCACGTCCACGTCCACGTCCATGTCCATGTCCACGTCCACATCCACGTTCACGTCCACGTCCATGTCCACGTCCACGTCCACGTCCACGTTCACGTCCACGTCCATGTCCATGTTCATGTCCATGTCCACGACCACGTCCACGTCCACGTCACGTCCACGTCCACGTCCACGTCAGGTCCACGTCCACGTCCATGTCAGGTCCACGTCACGTCCACGTCCACGTCCACGTCCACGTCACGTCCACGTCCATGTCCATGTCCACGTCCACGTCCATGTCCACGTCCACGTCCACGTCCCGTCCCCGTCCATGTCCAGGTCCACGTCCACGTCCACGTCACGTCCACGTCCATGTCCATGTCCACGTCCACGTCCATGTCCACGTCCACGTCCACGTCCCGTCCCCGTCCATGTCCACGTCCACGTCCACGTCCACGTCAGGTCCACGTCCACGTCCATGTCAGGTCCACGTCACGTCCACGTCCACGTCCACGTCCACGTCCACGTCCACGTCCACGTCACGTCCACCTCCACGTCTATGTCCACGTCCACGTCCACGTCCACGTCCATGTCCACGTCCTTGTCCACGTCCACGTCTACGTTCACGTCCACGTCCACGTCCATCGCCACGTCCACGTCCACGACCATGTCCACGTCCACGTCCACGTCCACGTCCACGACCACGTCCACGTCCACGTCCACGTCCACGTCCATGTCCACGTCCACGTCCACGTCCACGTCCACGTCCACCTCCACGTCCACCTCCATGTCCACGTCCACGTCTACGTCCACGTCCACGTCCACCTCCACGTCCACGTCCACGTCCACGTCCACCTCCACGTCCACGTCCACGTCCACGTCCACGTCCACGTCGACGTCCACGTCCATGTCCACCTCCACGTCCACGTCCACGTCCACGTCCACCTCCCTGTCCACGTCCACATCCACGTCCGTGTCCACGTCGACGTCCACGTCCACGTCCATGTCCACGTCCACGTCCATGTCCACGTCCACGTCCACGTCCATGTCCACGTCCACGTCCATATCCACGTCCACGTCCACGTCCATGTCCACGTCCAAGTCCTCCACGTCCACGTCCGCGTCCACGTTCACGTCCATGTCCACGTCCAAGTTCTCCACGTCCACGTCCCGTCCATGTCCCCGTCCACGTCCACGTCCGCGTCCACGACCACGTCCACGTCCACGTCCGCGTCCACGTCCACGTCTACGTCCATGTCCACGTCCATGTCAGTGTCCAGGTCCATGTCCACGTCCACGTCCACGTCCAAGTCCGCGTCCACGTCCGCGTCCACGTCCACGTCCACGTCCCCGTCCATGTCCATGTCCACGTCCACGTCCACGTCCACGTCTACGACCACGTCCACGTCCACGTCCACGTCCATGTCCACGTCCACGTCCAGGTCCACGTCTACGTCCATGTTCATGTCCATGTCCACATCCACATCTATGTCCACGTCCACGTCCATGTCCACGTCCATGTCCATGTCCATGTCCACGTCCACGTCCACGACCACGTCCATGTCATTTGCACTCGAAGTTCCCATACTGACCGACCTGGCCAATGCACCATTTTCCATATACATATGCATTAGATTCCTTTCAAACCTTTTTAGCTCACTAGATTTATATATTTCCCACCTTTTGATCGAGTGAGACCGCTAGATTCCCTTTACTTTTTGAGAAATAAGCGTTTCCGTTCTCCTTGGCCCTAGTTGCACTATCAGTGCGAAATGCCGGCCAGACTGGCCGACGCACAATTTTCTCTACACATGTGAGTTAGTTACCTTTCAAACCCTTATGTTCACTAGATGAATATATTTCCTACTTTCTATTTGGGTGAGACCACTTGATTCCGTGTACTATGCGAGATCTGAGCTCTTCTGTTCTCCCTGGCATTTGCATTTTAAGTTCCAATACTGACCGACCTGACCAATGCACCATTTTCTCTATACATGTGGGTTGAATACATTTCAAACCTTTTTAGATTTATATATTTCCCACCTTCTGATCGAGTGAGACCGTTAGATTCCCTCTACTTTTTGAGAAACGAGCGTTTCCGTTCTCCCTGGGTCCACCTGCACTATGAGTGCGAAATGCCGGCCAGACTGGCCGATGCACCATTTTCTCTACACATGTGCGTTAGTTACCTTTCAAACCCTTACGTTCACTAGATGAATATATTTCCTACCTTATATTTGAGGGAGACCACTAGATTCCGTGTATTATGTGAGATCTGAGCAGTTCCGTTCTCCCAGGCATTTGCACTCTAAGTTCCCATACTGACCGACCTGGCCAATGCACCACTTTCCATATACATATGCATTAGATTCCTTCCGAACCTTATTAGCTCACTAGATTTATATATTTCCCACCTTCTGATTGAGTGAGACCGCTAGATTCCCTTTACTTTTTGAGAAATGAGCGTTTCCGTTCTCCTTGGCCCTACTTGCACTATAAGTGCGAAATGCCGGCCAGACTGGCCGATGCACCATTTTCTCTACACATGTGCGTTAGTTACCTTTCAAACCCTTACGTTCACTAGATGAATTTATTTCCTACCTTCTATTTGAGTGAGACCACTAGATTCCGTGTACTATGCGAGATCTGAGCGCTTCTGTTCTCCCTGGCATTTGCAATCTAAGTTCCCATACTGACCGACCTGGCCAATGCACCATTTTCCATATACATATGCATTAGATTCCTCTCGAACCTTATTAGCTCACTAGATTTATATATTTCCCACCTTCTAATCGAGTGAGACCACTAGATTCCCTCTTCTTTTTGAGAAATGAGCGTTTCCGTTCTCCTTGGCCCTAGTTGCACTATAAGTGCGAAATGCCGGCCAGACTGGCCGATGCACAATTTTCTCTACACATGTGCGTTAGTTACCTTTCAAACCCTTACGTTCACTAGATGAATATATTTCCTACTTTCTATTTGAGTGAGACCACTTGATTCCGTGTACTATGCGAGATCTGAGCGCTTCCGTTCTCCCTGGCATTTGCACTCTAAGTTCCTATACTGACCGACCTGGCCAATGCACCACTTTCCATATACATATGCATTTTAAGTTCCGATACTGACCGACCTGGCAAATGCACCATTTTCTCTATACATGTGCGTTGAATACATTTCAAACCTTTTTAGATTTATATATTTCCCACCTTCTGATCGAGTGAGACCGTTAGATTCCCTCTACTTTTTGAGAAACGAGCGTTTCCGTTCTACCTGGCCCCACCTGCACTATGAGTGCGAAATGCCGGCCAGACTGGCCGATGCACCATTTTCTCTACACATGTGCATTAGTTACCTTTCAAACCCTTACGTTCACTAGATGAATATATTTCCTACCTTATATTTGAGTGAGACCACTAGATTCCGTGTATTATGCGAGATCTGAGCGGTTCCGTTCTCCCAGGCATTTGCACTCTAAGTTCCCATACTGACCGACCTGGCCAATGCACCACTTTCCATATACATATGCATTAGATTCCTTTTCAACCTTATAAGCTCACTAGATTTATATATTTCCCACCTTTTGATCGACTGAGACTGCTAGATTCCCTTTACTTTTTGAGAAATGAGCGTTTCCGTTCTCCTTGGCCCTACTTGCACTATAAGTGCGAAATGCCGGCCAGACTGGCCGATGCACCATTTTCTCTACACATGTGCGTTAGTTACCTTTCAAACCCTTACGTTCACTAGATGAATTTATTTCCTACCTTATATTTGAGTGAGACCACTACATTCCGTGTATTATGCGAGATCTGAGCGGTTCAGTCTCCAAAGCATTTGCACTCTAAGTTCCCATACTGACCGACCTGGCCAATGTACCACTTTCTATATACATATGCATTAGATTCCTTTCTAACCTTATTAGCTCACTAGATTTATATATTTCCCACCTTCTGATCGAGTGAGACCGCTAGATTCCCTTTACTTTTTGAGAAATGAGCGTTTCCATTCTCCTTGGCCCTACCTGCACGATAAGTGCGAAATGCCGGCCAGACTGGCCGATGCACCATTTTCTCTACACATGTGCGTTAGTTACCTTTCAAACCCTTACGTTCACTAGATGAATTTATTTCCTACCTTCTGTTTGAGTGAGACCACTAGATTCCGTGTACTATGCGAGATCTGAGCGCTTCCGTTCTCCCTGACATTTGCATTTTAAGTTCCCATACTGACCGACCTGGCCAATGCACCATTTTCCTTATACATATGCATTAGATTCCTTTCGAACCTTATTAGCTCACTAGATTTATATATTTCCCACCTTCTGATCGAGTGAGACCGCTAGATTCCCTTTACTTTTTTGAGAAATGAGCGTTTCCGTTCTCCTTGACCCTACTTGCACTATAAGTGCGAAATGCCGGCCAGACTGGCCGATGCACCATTTTCTCCACACATGTGCGTTAGTTACCTTTCAATCCCTTACGTTCACTAGATGAATTCATTTCCTACCTTCTATTTGAGTGAGACCACTAGATTCCGTGTACTATGCGAGATCTGAGCGGTTCCGTTCTCCCAGGCATTTGCACTCTAAGTTGCCATACTGACCGACCTGGCCAATGCACCAGTTTCCATAAACATATGCATTAGATTCCTTGTGAACCTTATAAGCTGACTAGATTTATATATTTCCCACCTTCTGATCGAGTGAGACTGCTAGATTCCCTTTACTTTTTGAGAAATGAGCGTTTCCATTCTCCTTGGCCCTACTTGCACTATAAGTGCGAAATGCCGGCCAGACTGGCCGACGCACCATTTTCTCTACACATGTGCGTTAGTTACCTTTCAAACCCTTACGTTCACTAGATGAATTTATTTCCTACCTTCTATTTGAGTGAGACCACTAGATTCCGTGTACTATGCGAGATCTGAGCGCTTCCGTTCTCCCTGGCATTTGCACTCTAAGTTCCCATACTGACCGACCTGGCCAATGCACCATTTTCCATATACATATGCATTAGATTCCTTTCAAACCTTATTAGCTCACTAGATTTATATATTTCCCACCTTATGATCGAGTGAGACCGCTAGATTCCCTTTACTTTTTGAGAAATGAGTGTTTCCGTTCTCCTTGGCCCTACTTGCTGTATAAGTGCGAAATGCCGGCCAGACTGGCCGATGCACCATTTTCTCTACACATGTGCGTTAGTTACCTTTCAAACCCTTACGTTCACTAGATGAATTTATTTCCTACCTTCTATTTGAGTGAGACCACTAGATTCCGTGTACTATGCGAGATCTGAGCACTTCCGTTCTCCCTGGCATTTGCACTCTAAGTTCCCATACTGACCGACCTGGCCAATGCACCATTTTCCATATACATATGCATTAGATTCCTTTGGAACCTTATTAGCTCACTAGATTTATATATTTCCCACCTTCTGATCGAGTGAGACCGCTAGATTCCCTTTACTTTTTGAGAAATGAGCGTTTCCGTTCTCCTTGGCCCTACTTGCACTATAAGTGCGAAATGCCGGCCAGACTGGCCGATGCACCATTTTCTCTACACATGTGCGTTAGTTACCTTTCAAACCCTTACGTTCACTAGATGAATATATTTCCTACCTTCTATTTGAGTGAGACCACTAGATTCCGTGTACTATGCGAGATCTGAGCGCTTCCTTTCTCCCTAGCATTTGTACTCTAAGTTCCCATACTGACCGACCTGGCCAATGCACCATTTTCCATATACATATGCATTAGATTCCATTCAAACCTTATTAACTCACTAGATTTATATATTTCCCACCTTCTGATCGAGTGAGACCGCTAGATTCCCTCTACTTTTTGAGAAATGAGCGTTTCCGTTCTCCTTGGCCCTAGTTGCACTATAAGTGCGAAATGCCGGCCAGACTGGCCGATGCACAATTTTCTCTACACATCTGCGTTAGTTCCCTTTCAAACCCTAACGTTCACTAGATGAATATAATTCCTACTTTCTATTTGAGTGAGACCACTTGATTCCGTGTACTATGCGAGATCTGAGCGCTTCCATTCTCCCTGGCATTTGCATCTTAAGTTCCGATACTGACCGACCTGGCCAATGCACCATTTTTTCTATACATGTGCGTTGAATACATTTCAAACCTTTTTATCTGACTAGATGTATATATTTCCCACCTTCTGATTGAGTGAGACCGTTAGATTCCCTCTACTTTTTGAGAAACGAGCGTTTCCGTTCTCTCTGGCCCCACCTGCACTATAAGTGCGAAATGCCGGCCAGACTGACCGATGCACCATTTTCTCTACACATGTGCGTTAGTTACCTTTCAAACCATTACGTTCACTAGATGAATATATTTCCTACCTTATATTTGAGTGAGACCACTAGATTCCGTGTATTATGCGAGATCTGAGCAGTTCCGTTCTCCCAGTCATTTGCACTCTAAGTTCCCATACTGACCGACCTGCCCAATGCACCACTTTCTATATACATATGCATTAGATTCCTTCTGAACCTTATAAGCTCACTAGATTTATATAGTTCCCACCTTCTGATTGAGTGAGACTGCTAGATTCCCTTTACTTTTTG